CCCCCCCCCTCCATAGCTAAAGTGAACTCTATGCCGCCGAATCCTTTCACTTGACTTCACTACTTCCGTTTCGCACGCCCGTCCCTCTCACTCGCGAGGAGGCGGCCGACCACGTGAGTCGCGCAAGAGGGAAGGGAAAGGGACGGTGTGACATCCGAGACGTGTACTGGGAAAGGGCCAACGGTTTAAACATAAGACTCTCTCTCACTCGCTCCAGCAGGCCTACTACTCGCCCTCCGCCGCCAAGCAGCACCTCCAGCACCAGCAGCTGCAGCAGGCCATGCTGGGCACCCTGTACCACCAGCACGGCGCGCAGCCCATGCTGCAGTACTACCAGCCGCAGCCGCAGTACGTGCCCGCCGTGCCCGCCCAGCGCTACCAGCCCGCCGCCACCGTGCACCACCAGCCCACCATCTCATTCAACTCGCAGCAGGCGCACCAGTTGCACGCACAGCACTTCAGGTGAGTCCATCGCTGAACCTTGTTCAACTTCTGTCACATTATGATGGACTTAACAAACTCACTGAATTTTACGAAGATGAACCGCGGTGAGTAGCTGTTTTCAAGCGTCTTGCCGCTAAGCTAGCACGCCTCGTGGCCCTCGTTGCAGCAGAGTGGGGCCGTAACTGGACGTCATTGTTTAGGGTGGGGTACTTTTTTCACGGCTCTCTTTTGATGCTCAAAGTTTACACTAGAAGATGTTTAAAACTTTCAAAGATAAACCAATAGGAAAAATTTAACCCTTAGAAAACAGAAACAACTTCTACGTTGAAGCTTTACGAGTGCAAATAAATAGACGTGAAAAGGTACCCCACCCCTGAAGAATGACCGGGGGGTGCTGTGCGGTTCGCAGCTCGCTGGCGCCGTCACAGCAATCTCTGCTTTTCAGGGAGTTGAGCGAGCAGCCCGCCGCCGCCCTGGCCGCCGCCGAGTACGCCAGCCCCGAGCAGCAGCAGCAGCACGCGCAGGTGCAGGCCCAGCAGGCCGTGCAGCAGAGCCACAAGAGCCTGTACGGCGCGGGCGTCAAAGCGACCGCCTCCCCCCAGCTCAAGGGCGGCTTCTCCACGCAGACCGGCCAGAGCTACGCCAACTTCAGGCAGTACGGCTGAGCTGTCCCGCGCCACCCGTGCCTCCTCCCCGCCCCCCGAGCTATCTCTGCGTCACCCCTTTGGCGTGAGTAGGGCAGCTGCCAAAACGACTGATGTGACCCCCACCCTCTACTATTCCGCTGCAGGCTCCCTAGCCATAGCTGTACAGAAGTAATGTTGCTTTATTTAATTCCTGAGTTGTGTGTATAGTGGTAGGCGGGATGCTACAGAACAACGCGCATAGACGGGAAGTAGCCGCTCTCTCTTGACTGTGTTATTTTAGTAGTACTATTTGTAGTCATTGTTGTATATTTTATAGTAGTTCTCGTTGTTGTTGATGTTGTTCTTCTTGTTGTTTTTATTTTGTACAGTGATAGTTGATTGATTAAATGTTTGTTACCTCGATATTGTCGAGTATTGCTTACAATTGCGTTGAGTACTCAAATACCCGCTCTCGATGGGCAAAGGCACAAGTCTCGACAGGGTAGTCAGCGCCGTTCTTTTTCTGGTTACACTACCAGTCGCAGGCGTGCGGACGGATTGCATACTCGGACGGCGCCGTAACCCCATGGGAAATGACGTCCACGTAACCCTATCCACGTAGATGCGACGCTGACTCTATGGATCTATGTAATTCACGTGGACTCGATATAGGGATCACGTAATCATGTACATACATAGAAATTGACGATAGATTCCACGTGGATGCGACGAGATTTTCCCATGGGGAAGGCACCTCGGCGAGCGAGCGACGATAGGCAAGCGGCAAGCCTACCCGCCACCCTGCACCCGGTACATACTCTAGAGTAACCAGAAAAAAAGAACGGCGCTGACGGGCCACCTCGTAGAAACTAGTTTTCATTCGCCGCAAGTCGATCGTCAGGCTCGACGTCACGTCAGACAGCCGGTTTAGCGAGCATGGCGCGGAGCCCCTTGAGGCGCCGCAGCCTCTTATACGCGCGTGTACGTCGGGTCTGCACACATCAGAGCACCCGAATGCCAGCGTGCGCTGCTGGATGCCAACAGGACCAACTGAAGACACACCATGTCCGCTGGTGAGCCTATACGCGTATATTCTCGCATATCGTGCCCCCTCAGAGCTGGACGTAGGATCTGCGCCTGGTGATATCTCAAAACGCACGAGCAGTGAGCCTGCCGTTTTCTGCAAATAAATTAGTTTTCATAAAATTGGTTGGCCGCTCGAGTATTTCCTATCCAGAAAACTACTTGTTTATTAGTACATGTACGATGTATGTTCCGCCTTTTCGCTAATCGAAATCAACAGATATCTCTAAAACTAAGCGCGAAACTAGCGGAACTGGTACAAATTAGTCGAAATAAGCGACTTCTACCACTAGAAAACCTAAGGAAGAAATATGAGTGGACGGGAATCACTAAGAATCGAGTATTTCGGGAATCATGCTTACAAATGGAAAGGGAGTTATTCCCCCTCAGTTTTTCGTATAGTGTGTTCCGGCTAACGGAGGAAGAAGAATAGACCAACCAGGAATCTTTATGTTCTACCCGCTTTCTTCCTCCGTTGCCCGAAGTACCCAATAGAGTGGGCTTATCTTCTTTATGATCCCTTCTTCACTCGATATTTATTTTGATACCGCTGATATTGCTTAGAAAGACACGAAGTAGCAGAAATACTGCACTTATCCCCTCTTTCATAGTTCCTCTGCACCACCCTACCGTCCAGGGCACATCTCATCAGGTGCAGTCTCCTTCCTTTGCCTGAGTGACCTAGTTGGTCGAGGAGTGAGACTGGCCTTAGCTTGGCCTTACGCTGGCCATCGGCCAACAGACAGCTCGATCAGTTGGATCAGTCACCGAGGCGTACCAACGCGTGGGTTACACCGCTGAAATAAAAGGCTCACCTAGTGAAAACACGCCTACAGTTTTCACACAGAGCAACCAGAACCATGAACCAAACTACCCCAATGTAATTACAAACAGTTCGGCACTTCCTGCGCTCAACCGTAAAGACAGGCAAGATGGACGTTGAGTGCACTTTAGTAATGCGAGTTATGCTCGCTTCTAAACTTACAACGGGCTACCGTCATTCCGCGTGTAATCTCGGTGACCAATCCATGTAACACGACCAGATCACAATCAAGCCATATTGACGAGTTTTGGGCTCAAAATTGCGGCAAGTAAAAAGAAAAAACGTGTCTGCTGGCAGTTTCTCCGCGGCGCCTGTTATGGTTTGTTGTGGGCTAGACTCGCCCATATCTCGCCCCGATCCCAATCGGGTGCTAGTCGATTGACTGTTTTATTGTGACCCGCTATATTTAGAGTCCTGCGTAAAGTCGAGCGCGTCCGTTCCGCGCGCGCCTCGGCGTCGTGCTGAAGAGACCAGGGGACCAGGACTTACCCCCCCGGCTGCAGGTGGCCGGGGGCCGGGAGCAGGACGATCTTCGTCCCCTCCGGGCACGTGTCGGCCGGGGACGCGACGCTGCCTGCGGCCCTGAGTGCAGCG